CTCCCAGAGTGGTCCATTCTAGTTTTATAGAGGGGTTCATGACTATTTAGCAGCGCAGTAGCATTTTTTATTCAAATTTGTAAACAACAGAAGACTTGTCCATCCAGCCTGATATGTTGGAGCCTGAGTCTGATCAGAGGAGAATGAAGATGACAAATTGTAGTTTGTAGTACTTTTAGCTTAAAATTGTGTTTTGCTACATTTAGGTTTTAGCTAGTCTTTTGTCACATTTAGCTTTGAGGAAAAATTTTGTTACTTTGCCTTAAGCTTGTGTTTTGATCCTTCTAACTTTAACAACTCAGTTTCAGCTTTTTCAATATGTTTTAGCCACGTCTGTATGACTCTCAGCTACTAACACACCAAACCTTTGCTCAGTATGTTTAAAATTGAGCGAGGTATATCCAGTCCTCTTTTTTTCCCATTTTCATTAAAATCCATCTATTCATTCATTAGATACTTTGCAAACAGGGGTTGGTGTAATGATTGTTCAGTGTAAAAYAGTACAGGTACATTATCATCCTAATCTAGGATGAATTTTTAGGATAATTCACACAAGAAATAAAAACAAGACTYGTGGTACGGTAAATGTAGACAAGCACTGATTCAGTTAGAAAGCTAGCTTCTCATTGTATATAATACATCCCACTCAAAATAAGTACATGATTCAAAAATGTATTAAAATCTGATCAGGTCCCAACCGCTGACAGTTGCTCTTCATCTCACAAACACAACAAACATTATATTATTACCATTTTATAATTTGAAAGCTGCATATTTTGACAAACTATTCAAACTGAGTAAATTTTAGAATGACTTTTAGTACTAAAAACACTCTGGCTGGGCCTGTAGATGAGTATAAGTGGCAGCAGGGCCCTTCTGGTGATTGCCCATGTCAGCACAGAGCAACTGACAAAAGTCATTAAAATCATTTGGACAGCCGCTGGTGTACGAAGCACAAAGGAGAAAAATACAYGAGGCTCAAAAGCATCACTTGTTAGAAAGATCAATGCTAGGCTGCTTTAGGCCTTTTCGTGGGATTCATTGATCACTTCCTGCCTCAGACTTGAATGTGAAAGTCTTGGAATCAAAGTTTAAATGAAGATGTTCAAGAAACTCCTGTGTAACACCAGAAATCCCACATGCATTAAAGATATAAAACACTGCAGTTAAGTATTTCTGCTACAAGAGTGGTTTTCATTCTGGATGAGTACAGAGGAAGAGTTGACAGGGACGTAAAAAATCTGATTTTCTTACTCTAGACAGATCTCCAACCTCCAGGTAGAAACAAATGATGAAAACATTCCAGGTCATCCACACGACGAGCCAGGCTGCGTACTGTAGGACAGATGAGACGGACAGAGCAGGGGAAATCAGACAGGATTTGACAAGCCTTTGTTCAAGAATTAAAGGGAAAAAAGTTTCATATTTTGCTTTTGAAACGACTGAAACAGAAAATAAAGWGACAGTGAGGCTTCACTTCTGATGTTGTTAAAATGCAAAGGCAGAAAAACAACAATGAACAGTGTAACTAATCTCCTGAATCAAACCAGACAGGAAGAGACAATGGGATGGCAGAGCTTAGTGCGTGTGTGTTTGTTTAAAAAGGAGTTACAGGATGGAATGAATAAATTTATAGAGCTTTCATTGTCTGAATCGTCTCTCTAAATATCATTTGTAGACGTAAAGTAGACAGTCGTTTTCAGGTCTCTTGAGACTAAATGAATCCAATATTATTCACAACTTAAGGACGCAAGTTTTAACTAACCGAGAAGCACAATTTAAGGCAAAACTCACAGAATAAAAACAGGTCCGCCTTAGAGGAGTCTGTGAAACTCACCCCAGTGATATATTTTGGCCTGAACTGGATGGTGCCGAACAGGCCGAGGATGACGACGATGATGTGCAGGAAGTTGATCAGGATGGGAGCCCACTGGTAGCCCAAGAAGTCGATCACCTGACGCTCCAACACACTGACCTGAGAAAACACAAAGT